GTGTGACTTTTGGCTATTTTTAATCTAAAAAAGAACTTGCGTGGACGGCGTTTTCATTCCAAAGAAGAGATTGATGAGGCTATAAATGCATTTTTTTTCATAGACTCCAGTAAATGAATGGCTTCAGACATTTAATCTTTGAAAAATTTGCTTACAGAAGTGCATTGACGTTGGAGGAAACTACTCTGAAGACTCCCAAAATTTCATAAGCATAACTTTAGAAACCTTTGCGTGTCTCAAAAATTTCAGAGGGAACCTCGTATGTGAATTTTATTTTTGAATTTTTATTTATAGTGACAGGGTTTTCTCGCTAACAATAATTCGATGAACAACAGGCAGAAGGAATTTATTGTAACTGGTGAAATCAGTCTCGTACGTACACAATACACCTCTAATTTACAATGCGTTTAGACTTTTATTAATTTAAAAAAAAAAGATTTTATCAAGTTGTGGGGGTTAAAATGGCTGAAATGATACGACTTTATGATGTTCTGATCCGGAACACAGGTAGAAGGAAAGAAAAAGAATTAAATGGCACGATTTTCATTGCCGCCTCAAGAATTACACATGGATCTAAGCTCCGCATCTGCGTCACTTTCGTATGTTATTTCGTTGAAAGTTAAAATGAGTTCATTTATTTTAGTATTCATTGTTTTATTCGTATTAGTGTTTAGAGGTTTCAGAATTAGTTTTCAATCTGGAATTACAAGGAGTTTGATGGAAGAATATAAAAAATGAATACAAAATATTACTGAACGTCACGGAGACAAAACTGTTATTAGACCCGAAAGCTATTTGTTAGTGCGAGTCGAAAGAAACAATTCCGGGAATTCCCGCTTTCAGAATATTTGAATAGTTATCTCACGCGAAAGCCAGTTCTTCACGGAAAACCTATGCTGGACAGAGTTGCGAGCAAAACATTTTCGCCTCAGTCGCAAAAATACCCGACTACATAGCCGGGACATAGGCTGCAGCAAGATTGTTTAGGCTAGGAATCTACTAAAGGTAAGAGAAGGAAACAGTCATTTCTCAGAAAAGTTTCTTCGATCGCCACTCGTCGCTAAATGTGATAACCCCATTAGAAGGTTTCATGAATAGTTGAAATGGTTTTTAAGTTTTGGAAAGTCGTATGTATGAATTAGTTGGGAAATTCAACTAAAAAGCAAACGCCGATGTAAGACTTCTTTTTAAGTGTAATGTATTTATTTATTCATGTTGACATTAATAAATTTTGCAACGTGTTATAGCTTCCCAATACAATGGTTATCTCACCTTTTTCGAGATTTTTTTTTTTTTTTTTTTTTTCATCCCATTAAAAAATGACAGAGAGAAGCTTCATTACATTACAAAAAATAATGTAACTGCTTAAAGTATAATACAAAAAATAATGTAACTGTTTAAGCACTGTGAGTAAACTGGATTGTTTTCTTGATATCTTTATTCTGCTTTTTATAATAATTAAATTATTATTACTATTTGTATATCCTAATAGTGCAAAGGAAAAAATATACAATAGTTATAAATTTCCAAAACAATTTTTAATAATTTTTAAAATTTTTAAAAAGGCATCTAAACGATAAATAAATACATAAGTTAAGTATGCCTTCTCTTTGTCAGTTTAGAATAAATTGGCTTTAAATTGCTGTTTCGATTATTTACTATTGGGGAATTTTCTGAATATTTAAAAAAAAAAAATTTTTTTTTTAGTCCTTCTTAAGCAATATTATATGCTTCATCTTTCCTCTGAGTAAAAACTCATAGGCTCCAAGGAAACCTTGACCAATGATGTTTATAGACCAATGATGAGCTTGACCAATGATGTGCAGGGGAATAGGGTGATGTCTAGAAAACTTGTTCACTGGTCACTTGATCTATTTGATAAATCCGGTGGAGCTCGCCAACTACTTTTTAATGTGATTTTAAAATATGCATAATACAGAAAGGAACAGAAATTAACAAACGTATTTACACTACATACAATAAGAACACTATATACAGTGTTTCCAAAATAACAATAATCAAATGTTCATTAGCTGCAGGGTGCTGGTTTCCAAGAGCTGCTTGGCCAATCAGCCTGCAATCAGCTTGCAAAATCCAAAACACTCAAATGAGAAATTCAGTAAAGGTTAAAAAAGTAATAAAAATATGTATAAAATACGTTCCATAAAGATGAAACTACGGAAGAATCATTCAGGGTCAAGGGGGCGGAAGAAGACGCCATCCTTTTATGCAATCATGATATGCCCTATGACGGAAATAGATAATCCTAAGGGACATGGAAAGGGAAACATTTAAGCTACAATATTACCGTACAATGAGTTGCATATGATTATTTCTTAATTCAGTCTTTCTTTAAATATTCCATCCGTTAGTATAATATCATAATAGCGCTACAAAACTTTTCTGTTAAACTTTCTACACTCATGTCCATAAATTAAGGATAATGCAAAATCAGGCAAAGGAAGAGTTAGAAGCAAACCAAATTTGACTTATTTGTAAAGCTTATTTATTAAACAAAAGGTAAAGAGCAAAAAAAAATGATATATGTTTGATATTATTAAAAAAATTATTAGCGATTTTTTCTCCCCTGCAGCAAATTACAAAAAAAAAAAAAAAAAAAACCTATTTACAAAAAATCAATATTACATGGTTGGTATGATTGTTAATACATTGTATGTCTCCCAGACGATGCAATACAGTCCGTACAACGCCTAGGCATGCTGAGTATCAAATTATCGATCTGATCTTGGGGGATACAACACCACTCAAAAAGCAATGCTCTCCAAAGTTCCGGTAGACATGTAGGAGGAGGTTGACGGACTGCAACTCGTCGGCCAAGAATGTCCCACACGTGCTCTACTGGATTCAAGTCCGGTGAGAATGCTGGCCAGTAAATATGGGTAATATCCTCCGATTGAAGGCATTCGCTTACGATGTTTGCACGGTGAGGACGGGCATTGTCATCAAACCTATATGTTGTTCCAGAAGGACATCACGATAGATTTGGCTTGTCATGGTTTCAATTTGAACATGCAGGTCAGTTCTGGAACCCATAATAATTCCACCCCAAACGAGCACTCCTGCACCACCGTAACGGTGTCGTTCAATGATGTTTCCTTGGTGCTAACGGGTACCTGGAGCTCTCCATATGAAAGTTCGGCGAGAATCAGACTGCAAGCTAAACCTGAGCTCGTCGGAAAACAGTACACAAGCCCACTGTTGCGGTGTCCACAATGCATGCTCTCTACTCCAGGCTAACCGCAGGCGACACTGAGTTGCAGTAAGTAGAACGCATCTGACAGGTCTACGAGCATATACACCAATCTGCCCTAAGCGTCTGTACACTGTCTGCCTTGAAATTGTCGTACCAGTGGCTGAAGAGAGCTGACGAGATTGGTCTGAGGCTGTGCTCCGCCTGTTTCTTTTGGCAGTAACTGCCAAATACCGGTCCTCATTTGGCGTTGTAACTCTGGGGCGACCTATGCTGTAGCGTCTACTCACATTACCATCATCTTGGAATCGTTGCCAAAGCCTGGAGATGACACTCTGGGCAATTCCAAGTTCGTCTCATACTTCCAGTTGGGTACGCCCACATTCCAGATGGCCTATAATTCTACCACGTAAAAAATCATCCAAATGCGTCCTTTGTGTCATAACTATTCGGGTATTGCACTGAAATGCTTATAAAGCGCCTGCGAACAATTTTACTTCTTCGCCTGTATTCCTTATATATCACTCTCTTACACTCTCGTCATTGTGACGTACCATCGGTGTCATCTGGTTACTTCCTGAAATTTGCATATAATTTTTGAAGATGCGTGTAGTGATTTTACAGGTGATATATTTATTTTAGAGTTCGATTTCCGCGTGACTCCGAATTATCCTTAATTTATAGACGTGAGTGTATTTTTGGGGAGTGGCGTATTTGAATTTGCGGTTAGATTTATACTCAAAAGGGAGTTTCATTCGAAAAATCGTTGACCTGTCTTTAACAAGATTGTTATTATGCTGCTCAACTACTAGCCACCAATTATATGTCTTTATCAGAAATTTAATCGCTTAATTTTGTTATCAACATCATAAGTACTCCACATATCGATACAATAAGCATTAAAGAACGTGATTTCGGATAAGCGCATTATCTTAATTACTTCCTTTTAATTTATCCAAAGCTAGAATTTCATTTATGTGAGGTTCAATGGTCATTTATTGACACTGAATGCTTGCTGGCATCAGCTCTGACCAGAAGTTATCAACAGTTTTAAAGGATTTCACTCAACCGAAAATGAGGCCAAAGAAATCGCACCAAATGCCAACGCCGGCATTAGGGTTTGAGCCATCTGCATGTTATTCGTTCTGTGTAGCCTTTGGCTGTTACTACTTAGCTTAGTTTAACTTATTATTTTTTTGAGTTACGCCATAAAGGCTGTTTGTAAAGCATGTAAATGCTGTTTGTATTGGTTTTGTAAAGCAAAAGAAGTGCCTTCTGTTAAATTACTGAGTTTAATGAAAGGACCTGTTGCAGCCTTTTTAAGTTCTGTGTCTGACTATTGAACATAGCGATAAATCGCTTAGATTTAGCCCAAATCTCGAACTAGTTTATGTTTCCGAAGAAGGTGACACTCTACATAGCTTATTGGTACAAATTAAAATATATTTAATTTATAATATACCCAGGAAATAATTTTTATGATCATTTTCGACTTTGTGGTAATTAATAAAAGAAATTTTTCAGGCTTTATGTTACGTAATTGGTACAAAATCACTAACTGTGTTTAAAATTCCTTGCATTTTTTTTTAATATATTTTAAATTTTGTTAAAACTTTTATTGGTGAAATCTTCTCCAAAGTGAGTGTAGTTTGAAGTTCAGAATAAAAAACAATTATCTTTATATGTATATATTAGGTTTCACTTGATCTGGTAAGGTTACTTAAGACCTAAAATTTTAAGAGACGAGAAGAATGTCATTGCTGTCTCAAAACAAGAATCAAGTCTTAAAAAGTTTAAAATAACCTTTTTATTTACACAGAACTAGGAATATTAGTGTAGGCACGCTCTTGTGCTGCAATAACCACTAGCACACCACAATAAACAGACTAGCTACAGGCTAGAAGCTAGGCCATCACGTACTACAATTAATTGAGGTACTGTTGAACTTAGCTAACTGCCCAGTTTCGGCCTCACTTTTTAGAAAGAACACCCCTAGGGCAGTCCGAAGGTCTCCTTACCCCTCTTCCCCTACCAGCAACCTCTCGAAAGGTCTTTCGGTTTGCCCTGTATTTTGAGTGCCCCCCTGCCGCACGGACACTGAACAGCTCAAATTAAATTAAACACTGAAGAATAATCAAGACTACACAAATAAATACTACACTAGTAGTTGGATTATAATTTCACCGGCTCGTCGGCAACGAGATACGGCAAAGCGAATAATTGCAACAACCTAACCACATAGGGCGCACGCGATGCAGGAAACACTTTCTATCTCAAATCCAAAAAAACCTCAGCTTACTATAAATTTGCATTCTGGTGAGGAATACGGTAATGAGAAGTTGTAGTAAAGGCTATACTCCATTTTGTTCTAGATTATACATTCACAAATCATTTAAAATGATGAACTGATTGATCATGAATAACTGATTGATTAACATAAGATTCCCTACTTATCTTTCCCCTATTATGTAACTTCTTTCATAATAATGCGTATAATGCGTACTGAAAACTAATTTGAAACAGAAATTATTAACATAATCGCGCACAGACTTAAAATTTTAGAAGTAGTTGTCGTTTCTTTTAAAATCAGTAAAATCATTGTATACCCCCCGTAACAAAATAATGCTGTTAAAATAACGAGAAAATTATAATTTTTTGTGAGCATGTAATAAGCATTTTTTAAAGAAAATTTTAAAACACGGTGTTTAACAAATTTAATTAAATATAGTTATTCTTCTCAATAGTACACATAAATTTTAAAGCTTGAAAACAATAACAAATGACCTACAATCGTGATTAAAATTCAAATATTTAATAGACACTTATAGACAAATACTCTATATTTTGAGGAAACTGGCATAGCTCCAGAAATAATAAACGTCAACATTTGAGATGGAGTTCAAATGAAGTTTTAATCACATAAACTTTGCCAAACTTAACATAAGTACATTTACCGTAGAAACATTTTATCTGTTTTCACAACTGAATAAAATAACTTGTAAATTTCATAGTTCACTTATTATTTATTTATTACAGTTATTCGTTTTTGATTATCTTTTACGAATTTTTTCTATTCTTTTTTCAAAATGAATGTTCACGAAGTGCTATGAAAGAAAGAAGCCTGTGAAATGGGTTTGGCACAATGATTAAATTTTTGTTATAATACACGTATCTTTCATGCTTCTTATTGTTTCCGAATAGTTTTAATATATGTTATGATATTAAAAGTTCTCTAGAATTTCTTTTATCGAGTGATGTCACTGAATAGTAATGATTTCAATTCTTAGATCATATTTCAGAAATCTTCATTATAGATTTTAGTTTATGAAACTGAAATTGTATTTCAACTGTATCTTATCATTTTCAAGAACATATGAAAACATCAAAATTCAGAGCAGACGATCTCACAGCCTTTTTCATATTTCAGTGAAGAGACAACTTTTGAGTTTAAAGAATTGAGTTTTAGAATTCTATCTGGAATTTAAGTGAATTGAATGTATGAATGTTACTTCTAAGAAGTATTTTTTAAAGATATCTTAATTGCTTTATTCAGTTGAATAAAATCACATTTTCTGGCAGTTACTTAGTCTTAGTATTATAAAATGCTTCTAAGAACATGCAAAACGAAATTTCATTGAATCATTCAAATGGTGACAAATTTCGCTTAGCTTCTAACCAATTAAAAAACAATTATTATAAAACTTTAGATAGCAGTCAGAATTACTAGTAACAATTAAGAATCTTTATCCTAAACTTTTAACGAAATGAAGTGAAATGCTCGAAAAAGATATAAACGCCATCCGGATGACGTTTTACTTTCTTTTCTTTCTATGCATACAACGACTGAAAATAAAAGTGAAACAGGCAATGCAATATTAAGAGAGAAATTTGTCTTCCGAAATTTTCTTTCATTGTCTCACATTCTTCTAAAGTTCTGGTAACTTCTGATGCATGGCAAAATAATCGAACTCCATTTTGTTCTAGATTATTCTACATGCACAAATAATTTAAAATACTGAATTATATTTCATAAAAAGAAGCATGATATCTAATTTTATCTGTCATTTGTCACTAATAATTTTAGAATGCTATATTAGTTATTTTCATTAAGATTTTAGAAATACAGAAAATGAAAGAAATAAGCTAATTTTAAAAAAATGCTTTTTGTTTTACGATACTGGCTTGAAAATTTTGTTCTTTCCCAACTTTCAATCTTATTTTCATCGGGACCTGTCAAGTTTCAAAAACAATGTTATCAAACCATGTGACACAACATACCAGTTAAAGATTTAAGTCTCATAACTTCAAAAAGAAAATATAGTTTGAATATTAAAAGCCAACTCTCAGATCATGTTTGACAATACACGCAATGCATATAGGTAGAGAGAAAGAAACGTATTAATTGATTGATATATTTTAGTTAAAATTCAAAAAGAACTATGGCGAAGTTTGCAATGACAAACTGTTAAACGTGTCAAACACTCACCAAATGAAACATTTAAATTCGAAACATATACCGCAAGAATATGACTGGATATTTCAAAATGGTATTTTTCATATAATACACTGGTTTGCATGTGTGGTGGGTTGTTTTCAACATACTTTTTTTGTTTCAATCAAGTTAAAATTGATACACAACTCCAGACAGCTACTATCCAGCTTCCATAGCATGGCAATATTGAGTTTTCTTGCCATCTTCCGCTTCCGTAAAGGACGAGGTTCGGTAGGAAAGGTCTGGCATTAGCGTGCTTGAAAAATGTAGCAATCTTCGTGGATTGCTGAGGAATCGGGAACCGTAGAAGATGCAGTGCGCAAAAAGCAAAAAATCAATCACTGATGAGTGTAGTGGCGCTGACGTTTGCGTCAAGGATAGTTTCGGTGACACTGGTTTTGGTATCAGTTGTGAATTCTGGAGCATCAGAAGTCATATCACACATTTCTTGATGGACGTTGAATTGAAATCCATCCCTCGTGGTTACATGATCGCTCTGGAATTCCATTGTCATAGTGGCATTCAGAAAACTGATATCCACTGCATAAAAGGAAAAAGAGAAGAGAGAATATAATACATGTTTGAAACTTACAAATCAGCGATAGAAAACGAATTAAAAATAAAAGAGAGAACGAAGAAATTTACCACTTTTTTACTCCGTTGTACGAAGTAAAGTAAGTATTGTAATCATGAAAAATTTGGGCATAACATTTCAACGGAAATTTTCAGTTTGTCCATTCCCGAATGCATTTAGATAATTGTTTTGGGTGACATCTGTACGTACAGAGAGAATAAAGGATTTCAAAACGGATGTATTTAAAATGGATTCAGAAGAGATTTTTTGTAACCTTTGTATCTATGTATGTATGTATGTATGTTTGAATTTCACATAACACAAACTATCAGCCGTTGAACGTTAAAATTTTGTATATGGGACTGCTACAACATCTAGTTGTGCACCTCCCTTTTTTATTGCAATCGGCAGTACCTAACGTATGCATATGTACTCATTTCCCTTAACCCGCCTTTGTTTTCGCAATCATTGGTCGTAGTCATATACTTCCAGTTACAGAAGTGTTTTAAATGACGAAAATATGCATGTTTTGTTAGTGTCAAATTAAAAAAAAAAAAAAACTAATTTTCGACAAATAACGAAATCTAACTGCATATATAATAACATTTTATATGTTTAGTTAGTCTAACAATAAATATCTAACAATATTTAATAGAAGTTTACTATTAATATTTTATGGTAGATTTAGATTTTTTAGAACGTTATTTAAATATATATATATTATATGAATGATCTAAAATTCATTGAATGCGAAACAAGTTTTTCTAATACTTGCGCAAAACTGCAAAGTAAGATAATAATAATTTATTTTTTAAAAAATTGATTATATTAATCTCTTTAATATAAATTTAGTAGAGTATCAAAATGAGGAAACCACAAGTAAGAAGTTAAATTTTCGAAAATTGTTTTGTTAAAAAAACTTGAATGTAAATCATGAAAAAAACCTTTTAAGGTGACTTGAACTTAAATCATGAATAACAAAATTTCAAACTTTGAAAAAGAAATTAAAAAATTAAAAAAACAAGTAATTATCGCTATTGATCAGAAATTAGTTGACTTTTCAAGGAAACAAACCATTTCCCGTTCTATGAACAATAATTAATAAATGCGAAGGTGTTTCGTCTTTTACTCAAGTAAGGATGATGATGCCAAACTGATATATATGTTACTGTGAAAGACCGAAATTGGAGAATGTTGACATTCTGCGGTGAATGTCAACGCATACCAAATACGTCGGTGAAAGACCGACTATTTGGTTATATTCTTGTACACTCGGACCATCACCAGTGTATATCGACAATCACAGGTATACTGCGGTGGAGGTCGAAAAGAGAAGTCGAGTTCAACAGAGAGGTGACTGTCTGTCGCCAAATCCTTTGCTCTGCTGTGATTGAAGTTATGCAGCATGTATTTGTTATACTCTGGAACACTGTTTGTCAGTCTTATGCTAGGTTGGATGGTACGCGCAACGTTTTCTTAATTTTTTTTTTAAATCCGATACCCTAATTTATGTTGATTGGATACTGCAGTGAATCGTGAACTTCTCCTTGAAAAGTTAAATGCATTAATTGCGAGTAAAAGAGAAGACAACTGTTTTTATCTTTCAAACACATCTCTCCTCACCGGGATTGATTACTCCTTACAAAGCTATGTTTGGCATTAAACGAAGAAGAGGCATAGCATCGACTGTTTTGCCTGGCGAACAAATTGTAAGTATTGAAACCGAAGAAAAACTCTTAAGAAATTGCTAATACTTTTGAAGCCAAAGAACAACTTGAAAAAACTCTTAATACTTTTGAAGAAAATCTGAACAGTGGCCATACCGAAAACCATATTCCAAAGAAAAATATTGAAGTGGACCTGCAACGTACCCCATCTTCGTGTCAAGCCAGGACTTATCAACACGAGTTAATTTCTATAAAAAGATCGGCCGCGAAGGAGAATCTTTTACTTCAAGCAACGAAAATGTTACGAACCTCAAAACAAATTTTCTCCTGCTCAAATTGGTGATACCGTACGAATACAAGTCTCTGATGTCGACCGTGGTCGTACAGATGGCCGAAATGTGTTGGCAGTTGTTGTTGGAATAACACTCCGGCTTTTATAAACTAACGAATAAAAATGAGACATTTAAGCAGCTTTATATTCGTAATCAGTTCGTAATTTGTAAAGAAAAGTTACTTTCCGTAGATGAGATTCCTTCTCAAGTAATGTCGCTGAAAGAAGCAGCTGCAGCTAATTCGAGAAGTAGAAGCACGCGGTCACTGCAAAAGGAAGTGTTCCAAAACTAAATGCAGTTGTAAAAGCAAGGGACTCTTGTGCATTTAAAAATGTAATAAAAGTTGCAATAACTAAGATTTCAATCACATAATTAAGTTTTTTGTATTATTTTCTTTTCTCATTTAGAATGCTTTGTTTAAGTTTAAATGTTTATTTACATGTGCTGTTACTTAAGATTTTTACACATTTTGACATATATGGTATAAATGCAGAAGTAAAAAAAAAAAAAAAATTTCTTTATTGATTGAATTTAAAACTAAGTGATTAACATTTATCCAAGCACGACTGCTGCCATTATTAAGAAGTCAAGTAATATCGAGGAGCCCTTCTTGCGTTAGAATCAAAAACTACATGTCACGCAGTGAAAACGCCTCTATAGAGTTACAAACAACTCTTCTCACCAGGGATTGGTAACTCCTCTGAGCAAGACAGGCGAAAATGTTACGTCACCCTTGAAGTTTTATAGCGCCTGAAATACGGGGAATAAAATGCAAATCTCCGACGTATTCAATTCATTGAATGCGAAAACAAGTTTTTCTAATACTTGCGCAATAACTGCAAAATAAGATAATAATAATTTATTTTTTAAAGAAATATTGATTTTATTATCTCCTAATATGAATTTAGTAGAATGTATCAAAATGAGGGAACCCATAAGTAAGAAGTTAAATTCCGAAAATTGTTTTTTAAAAGAACTTGAATGTAAATCATGAAAAAAAACCTTTTAAGGTGACTTGAACTTAAATCATGAATAACAAAATTTCACACTTTGAAAAAGAAATTAAAAAATTAAAAAAACAAGTAATTATCGCTATTGATCAGAAATTAGTTGACTTTTCAAGGAAACAAACCAACTCCCGTTCTATGAACAATAATTAATAAATGCGAAGGTGTTTCGTCTTTTACTCAAGTACTTAGTGCATGGTGAATGTCGACATTTGCTAGTGTAAGTCAGAAATAAGGATATTTGGCAAATATTTTGGACATGCACCAAGCGACTAAGAGAATGTTGACATTCTCCAAATCTCGGTCTTTTACAGTAACATATGTTTATATATATATATAAACATATGTTACTGTATATATATATATATATATATATATTTGCTTTTGTGCATTTTACACAAGCAAAGCATGTTAATTCTTCTACCTAGTTATATTCCTCGTATGAAAAATATATTAAGTACACTAAAGTGCCGAAAACACTGGTATTGATGAGCCTTGGTAGAATACATAGTAAAGCTGCCACTGCATGCCAGAATTGCTTCTACGAGTGGCTGCATAAACCGTTATTCATTTGCGGAAGTTTCTAAATTTATTTCCATCCCGAAAAGGGTAAGTTTTTGTAGTGATTTTTAATGCTGTCTTATAACTGTAACTAGAGAAATAATCAGGGCATTTCGGAAGTTAGAGATAAAGTTTAATATGATCATTTCACAAGTGTACCGTGACTGTAAGAATTCTTGCAAAATTTTGAACTTATGAATGGAGTTTGACTGTAAAATGGAGGAACTTGACTAGCATCAGCTGGCAGGAAAGATTTCTGGCAAAAGGAAAGCAATACTACCGTAAATGGCGTACGAATCCAATGATAAGTGTCAACAAATATCAGCTTGAAGACTGGAAAGCGTTCTGTTCATTAGATGAGCCTTAGGTGCCAACAACCAGCCTGAGTATTCTTGAAGAATGAATCCCGGATGCAGCTCACCGCAATTCGAATATTGGACTCTTGAGGTAGCACTTTCTAACTAGTTTCGTTTCCAACGGTGTTACAATGCCACTAGACTAGTCAAAAATATAATACACAGACTTGGTAGCTCCGGAATGGTATCAAGTTTGTTCAGCTAGCTTTTAATGGGATCGCTTTTTCATTTACAAACGACTTTATCTTTTCCAACAATTATGTCCATTCATGCCCTGTGTTATGCTTATTGATTTGGTCCCTTTTACCAGAACAATGCCCAACCACAAAGGTCAAGAAATGCCAGATTATGATTATAGGAATATTAATCTGAATTTGAAATCTTGTCATGTCAATTTAAATCATTGTATCTGAACCTAATTGAACGTATCCGGGATATCTTGCAAAGTGCTGTAAACATAGAAAGCTGATACAAATTATGGACTGTAATGGAAAAACAAAAAAAGTATGGTAAGTTAAACAAAAATGATCGTAGCGTCTATTTTTCTGTAGTTCATTGGACAATTTAGGAACAGAATATTCATAGATATGATACAAAATTTCAACCTTTAAAAGAATCTGCTGTAGGGGAAAAAATTGGAAATATTTAAATGATTATTTTCTTTGCTTTATACTTGTTTGAATGAAATGACTTCAAGCTGAATTATACCGTTAAACTCATGTGTGTTGACCATTGTTACATTCCACTATTAACGCTCATAAATATTTTCATAACAGACTTGTCAGACTTAACAAGCATTATGCCATTATCAGTATTCCCAACTGAAGCACAAGATAAAGTTATTTGATATGTCAGTGGGCTTACGATTGAAATCTAAACGTGTGTTAGGAGTTTTGTATAGATGTAAAAAAAATTAGTGAAATTTCACTATTTTCGAGATTTTGAAAACTGTTGGAAATGTTCATCTTTCCCATCGACTATCCAATACAAAATTTTATAAAACTGTATGTCAATAAAGGTAACTTTTTTAATTTCTTTTAATAAATACAAGTCATTATAATAAGCATAAAGAAAGTTGTATTAATTTCTCCTTCCATTTAATTTTTTAACATTAATGGAAGCTTTTAATAAGTTCACGAAATGTAAAAAATATACATGAAAAAAAAAAGCATACATTAAAAAAATTTTACTCCTGAGGATTAAACGCTTTTTGAGTTACTAGGTTTATATAGAAATTAAGGTAGCCGCGGGTAAGAAAAAATTTGAAAAGTTATATTGGATTTAAGATATGCAATAATTACTTCAGAAAACTATGTATGATTGCATAATTTTTGATTCGATAAAGATGGCGCTTTCTTTTAAATAATTATTCTCTGAACATTCCTTCATATCTTCCTACAGTTTTTTAAACATCAAATACTTAAAAAGCATTCTTACATATTTGCCCTTTTGACATGACACCGCAAAGTCGATCGTTGTTGACAAGTAAGAAGTCCGACTGGCAGTGTGGATCTTCCTCCACATCGAAGCTTTTTACTTTCATCAGCAGCCTGCAGACGGATGGGTGTGACTTATGAATGGTGTATGTGCAGGTACGTCCATTATCGTATGGCAGCGGATAGTTCGGAGAAGACATAACAAAATCCTCATCTTTGAATGTAGCGTCGCATGTAGGAAGCGGGCAGTCCTGCTGGACAACTGTAACCATGTAACCAAGGCCACGAGTTTCATTATCGGAGTGGAAAGACATGGTAACCTGGTTGTCGTCAGAAAAGGACACAGTTCCTGTAGGAGAAGTAAAAAAAAAGTATTTTTATTAGTGTTGTACCTCTCACATACAGCGAGGATAAGTCTGGCAACAGCTGCAGGAAGGAAAACTTGGCAGTGCCGGAATGGCAACAGCGGATGATATTCTATAGATATTTTGATTTTGAGTCGAGGTTTTTTGCGTCTTTTGCGATACTATTGCCTTATAACATTTGAGTTTTGGGTGAATGAAATGGAATCCGCTGTCCCGCTGCGGATATTAGTAAAATATATTTAGAAATTAGCTGCGTTGGAAAGGATGAAAACATGTGCTTGAATTTGCGGTATTTTCCCTCCTAAAGTTGCGTTGAGTTCAGAATATTATGCCAGGCTTATTCACTCTGGTGCAGATAAGTTTAAATTTTTGTTATTGTGTTTATAGTGTATAACTTGCAAATATATGAATAGAATTCTATTAAATAAACATTTAAAATTCTGGAATGGTGTTTAAAATTTTAGATGTAGGGTATTCACATTGCTATGTCGGAGCAAGTGGCTGTCAGGTGTAAAGTAAAATTGTTTTTGCTCCACGGCATAACAAAATGGCGAGCCAGCCAGGATTGCGATCCTGATTCGAATGTGTTAGGATTATTATATTAATATAGTTGAGAAAGTATTGTGTTTGCTATATTATATTATTGTAGAAGTAAATATTAATTTAAGTGTTATTTGGAAACTAATGCGTTTCATCGTCTGCAATGTTGAATTTCGTATTTGTATTCGAATTAGTTTCAATTTTCAATCGAAATGCTATGCGTTTAAATCGTCTGCAGTGTAAACGTAGAAAGGTTATGCGTTAAATCTTCTGCTGTGATATTCAAAATAATTTTGTTTTGCTGTATTATGAATGTTATGACACATTGTTTTATTCATTTTTATTATATTGAGTTATATTTTTGGAATTGCTGAGTAAAGACGTTTTTGAGGATTTTGTCGGATTGATGATAACATTACAGATTTTGAGTTTTTAAGTCTGTCTGCATTTAAAGATAAAATGGATGTTGATATGTTGAAGAAAAGGCGTACAACGGCACGCAGTGCCTTTACTAGGACGGCTAAGATTGTAAAAATTGAACTTTGTAAAGATGTTCAAGCGGATAGAGATGTATTGAAAGACAAAATTTTGAAGTTGCAGATGATAATTGCTGAGTTGAGATCTTGCGATTCAGAAATACTAGATTCAATGATTAAGGGAAAAGCCGCTGAAGATGATCTGAAACCAGAGTCGGGTGAAAGAGAATATAGATTATGCGGTTGACCGTAGTGTCAATACGAGTTCTAACACGTATTGTAGCATAAGTGCTTCTAATGAAAAACGGTATAAGTTACCGAAAATTCAAATTAAAAAATTTGATGGACAATTATTAAGTTACCTTACATTTTGGAGTCAATTTAAAAAGATCCATGAGGATAAGGAGCTTAATGACGTTGACAAATTCATTATTTAGCTCAATCAATGTTACCCGGAACTCCGGAACTCGGGCAGTGAGTTTATAGTTATCCTTTAACGGCTGAAAATTACCCGAAAGCCATTTCTGCGTTTGAGGAGCGTTTTGGAAACAAGGAAATTTTAACTGAGATATATGTGAGGGAATTGTTAAAATTAATTATCCAAAATGTACGCTCACAAGGGAAGGATCGGTTGCCGCTAGTGTCACTGTTTGACAAAATCGAATCCCATCTCAGATCTCTCTAGAGTCTTTAGGCTTAGCCCTGGATACTAATGTTTCCTGGTTATAATCCCATGGTTCGAAGTCTTGTCTGTCTGCTGAGATGCTTCGAGTATGGCAGAGAAGCGTTTTGTTCAGTAAAGAAGGATCACGTCTCACAAATCTCCTGAGAATTTTTGCGTAAAGAGGTCGAAGGAGAGCAGAGGAAAGAAAGAGGAAGAAACTAGCCAGGTCTGGATTTGAAATTTCTTCTACTTCACGCGCAATGAACATTCTAAAGATGTAAAAGTTAAGACGAAAAAACCAATCGCTAGCGCAGCAAGTCTAGTTGCTGTCAAGAACAAAAATGTTTTTTTGCGGAAATCTCACGAAAAGCAAAGAATGTTTTACAGCTCGATCGATGAGCTTAAAGGAAAGATTAGACAAATTAAGAGAATTAAAATGCTGCCTCCGCTCTCCGCTGTCTTAAACCAGGGCATTTTGCGAAGACATGTCCCACAGTTTAATTCAATGCTTTTGTGTAGGCGATCTCACCCTATAATTTTTATGCCCGGAGGTATCAGAAAACAATGCTGACAATAAGGAAAACGAAACGAGTCAGTAATGGTACAAAGTACAATGTCCTCTCCCTCCCTTATGTATGAATGAAGTCACTCTTATGACGTTAATGGTTGAAATAGTTGTAGGCACTGTAAAGAAGGTGGTCAGGTGCCTCTTGGATTGTGGATCCCAACGATCTTACGTTTTACAATCCACAGTTGAAGCTTTAAATCTGAAAAGCACTTCCTCTGAACTTTAACTCACGCGTTATTTGGCGGAACAAGGACTGAGTCAAAAATTCACAAGAGATATTCTATAGGTCTAAGCCCGGTTGGGAAAAACAAAGTGTGCCAATTTAGTTTTCTGGATCAAAATACCATTTGTGGAGGCATACCACGCATACGCATACCTAAAGGACCGTTATTGAGGAATTAAAAGACACAGAATTTGGATTTCAGATGTCGGTGAGGGTCACCCGGAATAGAAATCCTCATAGGGAGTGATATTTATGGGCAAATACTTACTGGTGAAGTAATTCAGCTTGAGGGTGGTTTGACAGCCATAAATACTAAACTGGGATGGACGCTGTGCGGGAATCGAAAGGAACGATTATCCAAAGTTTTGAGGGTACCCCATCTATGTTAGTAACTAATCTTCTTATTCAAGACATGGAACCTTCCTTTATGTGGAAGTTAGAAACTATCGGCATTGCAGATGATGCGCAAAGCATTTCCAGGGTCGCAGAAGATCAAGCAGCGAAAGAGCAGTTTCTTAGGGGCCTTCGCAGAACCGGAGATGGTAGATATTGCGTGAGTTTCCTTGGGCTCTAAAATTCCCTCCTGATATTCCCTCTAACTGGCATATTGCAGAAAAGAGGCTCTTTGCTACTACGAGAAATTGAGAAAATTAAATAAATTTGATGAGTATAGTACAGTATTTAACGAATGGCTAGCGGAATATGTCATAAGAATTGTCCAAAATCAGTAAAGAATGATGGAGAGGCATTATTTACCACACCATCCAGTAATAAATTAGGTAGCCTCACTACCAAGATTAGCCTGTATTCGATGCGTCGAGCAAAGTCGTTGGTTCGCTTTCGCTAAATGATTGCTTGATAAAAGGTCCAAACCTTGTAGAAGAAATCTCAGCCATTCTAATGCGGTTTAGGGAAAGGCAATTGGTGTAACATCCGATATCAGACGGGCCTTTTTACAGATGAGGTAGAGCGTGACATCAAATTACTTAAAGTTTTTTGTGGTGGTAAATAATAGAATTGAATGTTTCGTCACAGAGGTTGTTTTGGGTTACTAGTAGCCCCTATTTATTGGCAGCTGTGATTCATTTCATTTGTCCACGTTCACCGAATTCAAAGCTTTGCGAATAAACTTGCCAAATCATTTTATGTGACAATTGTGTCACGTCAGTCGATATAACGAAGAGCTAAGGTTTTTATGAGCCATCGATTACTATTTGGCAGAAGCCAAATGGATCTTCGAATGTGGACTTTTAATCAATATGGTGATCAAGAGCTAGCAGCTGAAGATAGTGATCCAGTCTCCGCAGTTCTAGGCTTGCATGGGACCGACGAGATGACAGCCTTACATATCCGTCCAAAGAGAAATCGTTAAAGAACTTATCAAAAAGGAGACTATTTATTGTCCTAAATCCATGCTGTTTTTGACCCGCTAGGTTTCTTTGTGGCCCGTCATATTACCTGCGAAATTAATTCTTCAAGAGGCTTGGGCAACAAAATCGACCTGGGATAAGCCATTATCAGAATGAACTTCAAACAAGATTTGAGAGATGGTACGAAAGGTTGCCTAGTCCTTTCCCGCCTTAAATTACCTCGTCGCATGGGTCATGGAATAAGGATTCATGGACTCTACACGTCTTTTGCGATGCCAGTCAAGCCGCTTATGCAACTGTCATTTACTTATGAAGTAAGAGAAGACAAAGTTTTCGTGAAATTCGTCATAGCAAAAATCATCGGTATCGCCCTTAAAGAAAAAATATATTCCGCGTTTGGAGTTTGCTAGCCTGTGTTCTAGGTGCACGCTTGGCAAGGTATACTGTTGAAACCCTGTCCTTAGTCGATGTCCCGATATATTACTGACAGACGCTACTGTGGCTCTTAGCTTGGATACACACGAGAGGAAAACTGGAGAGCAGTGAATAATAGAGTAAAGGAGATTCGGAAACTCTCGAAGCAGGATGTTGGAGACATATCCCTGGGAATTGAATCCGGCCGATGTGGCATCTCGTGGCTGTCGCCTGAACATTTGCGGCAATGCAATTGGTGGAGGGCCCCGAATTCTGAAAAGCTCTCGAAAGAATGGCCAGACTTTTGAGTTTACTCCAGACGAAAATTCTGTTGCAAGCAGAAATTAAGAAGGGAGTAGTTTCATTTGAGTAATAAATTAGAAGATTCTGAGTGGTACAAACTTTTTTCGAGTTTTCTAAAATAGTTCGAGTATTCTGCTGGGTCTTTGCTAAAAACTCTAAAGAAGCCCTGTATTCTTTCGGATACCTTAACCGTAGAAGAAAAAACTAACGCCGAAACTTTTGTGAGTTTTAGAGCAAAGGAAGCACTTTCAAGAGAAAGGAGATTCCGTCCATGGATTATTGGTATGAGAGACAACGACGGGATCCTCAGAGTTAAAACTAAATCATTGAACGTGATGATGAATTCTGCTTCCTTTATCCTGTTTTTCCGTCCAAGCATTATTTAACTGAATGCCTCATAAGAGAGTATCATGAAAAAACTGCCATGCGGAGTGGCAGATAT